GGAGGTAATTCAGAAATGAGCTCAACTTTCACTTTATCCACCTCAATTCCCCTTTTTGAGATAACGCGACCCAAAACAATACCTTCTTAAACCATGAAATAGCTCTTTTCCCAACTAAAAACAAGGTTTGTTTCACGACATCTTTTAAGTACCAAATTTAGATTTTTGAGGCATGCATCAAATGAAGACCCAAAGACAGAAAAATCGTCTATAAAGACCTCTAGATACTCTTCCACCACTTCCGAGAAAATTGACATCATGCACCTTTGAAATGTGGCAGGGGCATTGCACAAACCAAATGGCATCCGTCTATAAGCAAATGTGCCGAAAGGACAAGTAAAGGTGGTTTTCTCTTGGTCTAAGGGGTCAAGGGCTACTTGATTGTAACTCGAATAGCCATCAAGAAAGCAATAGTATTATTGCCCAACCAATCTCTCTAGGATTTGATCAATAAATGGTAAAGGAAAGTGATATTTCCTAGTGGTGGCATTCAATTTTTGGTAGTCAATGCATACTCGCCATGAATTGGCGGTACGCTTAGAAATTGCCTCACCTTTTGCATTTTCAACCACCGTAATTCTCGATTTCTTGGGAACTACTTGAGTTGGACTCACCCATTTGCTATCAGAGATTGGATAAATGATACTGGCATCTAAGAGCTTAACTACCTCTTTCTTAACCATTTCTTTCATGTTTGGATTTAATCTTCTTTGGGCATCTCTAAAAGGTTTTGCATCTTCTTCCATAAGAATGCGATGCATACAAATGGAAGGGTCAATTCCTTTTAGATTCACCACACTCCACCCAATGGATTCCTTATTGTCCTTAAGCACATTCAAAAGAGAATTCTCTTGATCTTTTTCAAGATTTGAAGAAATGATGACCGAAAGAGTCTCTTTCGAACCTAAAAAGGCATACTTAAGATCGGGAGGAAGAGTTTTGAGCTCAAGAGTGGGTGGAGAGACTAGAGATGGAACCGGTGGAGTGCTAGAGAGTGGAGGAAGAGATTCTTATGGATCTTTTTAAGGTGAAAAATCCAAACTTATAACGGATTCCATTAAATTATTAACTTCATTCATTGACCCTTCACTATCAAACCCACAATTACCATACATTTCAAGAAGACAAGTTGCAAGGGGGTCCTCTGAAAGAAGAGATGAAAGATCATCCTCAGTTGGTTGTTTCATGACCATGGTGGAAATAGATTCCTCAACAACCTCATTCAAGACATTTATGAGACAACACTCGTCTTTATCTATGGGATGTCGACTTGTATTGAAAACATTAAACTTAACCATCATATTACCAAAAGAAAAGTCCATAACACCGGATCTACAATTAATGGTAGCATTTACGATAGCAAGAAATGGCCTTCCTAAGATGATGGGGATGTGATTGGTGGGATTTGCAACTGGTTCGGTATCAAGAGCTACGAAATCAACCGGGAAGTAAACTTGTCAACCTTGATGAGTATGTCCTCAATCATGCCCCTAGGTGTTTTAACGAATCTATCGGCCAATTGAAGCACCACTGAGGTTGGTTTCAATTCATTCAAACCTAGTTAGACATACACGGAGTAAGGAATCAAATTAACACTTGCCCCTAAGTCAAGAAGAGCTCTACGAACTTCATGGGTTCCAATTACACATGAGATAATCGGAGCACCGGGATCTTTGAACTTAGGTGGAGTGTTATGTTGAATGATGGAGCTCACTTACTCCATTAGGAATACTTTTTTAGGGCCTTGTCCCTTGCTCTTCCTCTTTTGTGTACAAAGGTTTTTAAATTTTTTTGCATAAGGCGGAATTTGCCTAATTGCATCTAAGAGAGGAAGATTTATATTAACTTGTTTGAAAACCTCCATCATGTCATGGATTTTTCCCTCTTGCCTCCTAAAAGGCGAAGTTTCTTTCAAAGCATAAGGGAATGGAGCTTTTGGCTCATAAGACCTTGCAACTTGAGGGGATGATGAAGAAGGTTGAGAATTCCCTTTAGGGCCATGCTCATCCAAGGAAGTACGAATAGGATTGGAAACGGGCCGGGTGTCAACTTTTGGTTGCACCGGTTCACTATTTTCACTTAGTTGTTCAACTCTATTGTCAACTTGTCTACCACTTCTCAAAGTAGTAATTGCTTACACTTACTCTTGGGAAAGACACCCCGATGTGGAGTTTGCTTCCACAAAATGTTGAGCTTTTGGGTTCCTTTCGGGTTGGCTTGGCAATTTACCAATTTCTCTCGCATTCAATGTATTAGCTATCATCCCGATTTGAGACTCAAGCTTTGATATCGATTGAGAATGAGAATGCAACAAATTGGTGTTCATTTCCAAATTACCCAAAGCTACTAAGACCTTATCTTCAAATGTGGGGTTGCTAGAGAGTGCATGAGAGTGATTAGAGCTACTTTGAGAATTATAAGCTTAAGGATGAGAGAAATGGTTCATTTTTTAATGAAAAGAAGAAGGTGAGATGAATCCTTTTGAGCCTCCATTTCTTTGATGAGGAAGAACATACCGGTTTTGAAAATTTTTAGCTTAAAGAGGATTTGAATGTTCACTCCACACTGGAACATAAGCATTCGAAAAAAAGTGAGCAAATGTGGTATTGACTTGTTCATAGTGTTCATCAAGTACATGTCCATAGGGACAATTAGAAATAATATGCAATACAATTGAACAAGTCATGCATAGCTTACAAGAATGATGAAGATGATGATTAAGAAGAGGAGATGATTGTTTTGCCGGCTTTTGACTCAATAAAAATTTATCAAGTTTTTGAGTTAGAGTTTTGACCTCGGCAACAATCTCCATTGGACTTTCAATTTTACACACTTTCAAATTTTTCTTTTTGTTATTAGAATCATGACTTAACCGAGAAGTATGACATTTATGCAATGAATTTTCACTCATTTTCTCAAAAAGGTACCAAACATCATCTTCATGTTTCCCAAAATATGATCCTCCACATGAGTTATTAACTATGTCCTTGTGAGTGTCGGATAGGCTTTCATAGAAATATTGGACAACTTGCCATTTTGGAATACCATGATGTCGGTACTTTCTTTGCAAGTCATTCAATCTTTCCCAAGCCTCATGTAAAAGTTCTCCTTCCCTTTGAGAAAATTCATGAATAGAAGTGCGCATAACATTGGTCAAACTCACGGGGTAAAATTTCTTTTAAAATTCATTTTGCATTTGTAACCAAGAAGTTATTGAATTTTCCCCTAAGTTGTTGAACCAATGCTTAGCCTTATTTTTAAGAGTGAAAGGGAAGAGAAGTAACCTAAGGACTTCCTCCGGGACATTCATATACCTCACAGTGGAGCATATTTCAAGAAATTCATCAAGATGTTTATATGGCTCCTCACCGTCTAAGCCATAAAATAGTGGACACATTTGAATGGTCTCGGGCTTAATTTCAAATTGATTGGCCTCAAAATTAGGAAGCATGATGTAAGTTGGTGCATAGTATTCATGAAGATTATAATGATCACGAAGGATCATTGGAGGATTGGAGCTTGAACTCCGAGAGGAAATTGGTTGAAAGGAGGATGCTCCATGAAGTTTGGGTCTAAATAACCAAGATGACCCTCTAGATTTTCCATTGGTTATGATGGGGTTGGTTGAGACTGTATGAAATACAAGAAACACAACAATGAAATCAACTAAGCAAACACTTTGCCCCTACAACAAATCAATCAACAAATCTCCACATATAATGATCCCATACTCCCATGCTTAAACAACATGCAAAGAAAAGTAAATTGCCTCCACGCGGGCTCACGATTTATCTAAGAAATGGAAAACAAGCCTCCACGCGGGCCAATGATTTAACTAGAGCTTGAGTTAGAAAGATCTCGCAAAGGGTCCTTAAGCAACTTCAATTCATTTTCAACTTCCAAACTTTGCTATGCTTTGCATTTTTTTTAGATTTTGTCCTTTTTGTGCTTAACTTAGCTCCTTACTTTAAAGTCTCCTTTGCTTAACCTCCTTGCTCAATTTCACCTAGCCAAATAAGAACAAACATAATAAGTAACCAAAAAAAAAAAAAAAAAGATCAAAAGAGTACTAATCCCTAATTGTTTCCAAAACACGGCGTTGCCAATTAAATCCCCGGCAACGGCGCCAAAAACTTGGTATGCCTGTCGCGGTGTGCAACCAAATTTGTGCAAAATAGTGTGGCCAAGTTTTATATTTATAAATGCCACTATTACCACTAACTAAAATTATAGCAAGGGTGAGTAGGGATCATCCCAAGGGATTGAGGGTGCACTAGTAGTGGAAACAAGGCTTAGGGTTAGTAGGTCGAGCGATCAAAGGTAGGTTGTTTGGTTGATTAAACTACAATTAAAACTAAACAAGATCAATATCAAGCAAGTAATTAAAGGACAGAGAAAACAAGAGAGAGAGATCTTGGAGCTTAGAGATCACCACTAAGCATCACTTTTCTCTATACTTAATTCACAATTAATGAGGGGAAGGCATATGTTGCAACAATAGTGAGTGTGTGTGGTTGTTTCAACAAGCATGGATGACCAATTAAGTGTATATTGTTTAGACAACACAATGAATAGCATAATATATCAAAGTGAGCCATTAATCTTTCTTTAAGCTCACAATCCAAACACATCACAAAATTAAAGAAATATACTACTTGCATTCATAAGTATAGAACATCAAACAATAAGTATGGATTGTCCTCCCATTTAATAACTAAAGTAACTACACTACATCTAAGCTAATGACATGAAAATTAAACTAATTAAACTAAGAAAAAGGCACAATCCATTAAGTAATGAGTATGAACCATCAAATAAACCACAAGAGCATTCTATTAAGCACTATGTCTTGACAATTTCTAGATTTATAGGATTAATACATATAGACATGCATCAACAATATAAGAAATAGAGATAAACACATGAACATCTATTCTAGCATACATAGACATATGGATAAAATGAAATGGTCACTTGGAAGAATTAAATCACACAAATCATTAAATAAATAAGACCTATGTATATAAATATGTCAAAACATGTATTACAACACAAACCCCTCAAAAATACATGAATCAAGATAAAGAAAGCATGCTTAGGGCTAACTCTAGCCCCAAGAATATGTCTAGCCACTTATGGATGGTGTCTTCCAACCCTCAAGGGCTATTTCCATGGTATAAATGATGATCTTCTTGAGAAAGATGGAAAACCTCTCAAGAATGTCTCTAGTTTCCTTTTCTCTTTTCTTCCTCTCTAAGAATTGTCTCTAAAAACTATTTACCCAAAAGCATATCTAAGCATATATGTAAAAGTGACTCATATTCCTTATATAGGTAGCTTAAAATGTCACACCCAATGGTCTAGGCTCGTACACAAGGGCTCCTCCAATGATTGCACAATGAGACAACTTTTAATGAGCTGTAAATATATATTTTTGGATTTGAGAGGGTTCGATCGATCGAACTGTGGTGAGATCGATCGAACATGGCTGAGATCCATCGAATTCTGCAGAGATCGATCATCTATGGCGGTGCCTTTTTGAATAAGGACAAATCTCTGAGATATTTTGAGATATTTTTGGGAAGAAAACAAAAGTGGCAGCTAGAGTAGTACATGTAGATAAGATCGAGCACTTCGATTGATCGAATAGCTGTTGAGATCGATCGAATTTTATGAAATCTTGTGGATAAGGACAAAAGCTCAGATCCGTCTTAAACTGCTTAGATTAATGAACTTTCGATCGATCGAATATATTCTGAGATCGATCAAACCTGCTGAATTCCATACTGTGCTTCAATCTACTTCCACTTTGCTCCTTTCTTCCATCCAGCTTGAGTTAGCTTCTTTTAAGCTCTTATTTGGCTGAATTAGCTTATTTTGGGGATAAGCACCTAAAAAGGACAATAACACGAAATTAGTCTAAAACGGGAAAGTAAGATAGATAAAGGTCCTAGAATACCTAAGCTTAAGGGGTTTAAATGCGCACTTTTCAGCGCTCATCAGTGGGTGAAGTGTTCATGATATGGAATCAATAAGAAAATTATAAACTAACCTGAGAGTATGACGAAGCTGCGGACACAATGAAGGCAAGAACGAGCTTTGGAGAAATTTTTTGGTCAGAATGTCAAGAGCCACTTCCAAAACCGCCTCTTACACGTCTGGTAACTGTGCAAATTCAATTCCCTTCTGATTATGGACCGTTGCTCAAATTAGGAGGGAATTGAGGGCAAACTGTGGAGGGAAAAATCTTCGTACCAATAAGAACATGCCATATCATCAATGAATTACAGTTCGATCTACTCCAAATGAGCCATTGTCAGCCCACCATAGAATAAGCTTAATATGTTCCGAGTCAAAGATACTGCTCGGATAAACATTATCTAAGCTACAGATCGGATCAATCTATATGAAGAAAGAACTTTGTATAGAAGAAAAGCCTCACATGGAATAATCTATATGAAGAAAAAACCTAGAATAACCAACAGGCTAGTGGTCTAGCAGTACCAAGCCCCTACTTCTATAAATAGAGGTATGAGCTTACAATGAAATATATAAAAAAAATTCTCTAATTAGCTATTGTGCATTGCTTTTATTATTTTGCGTGTTTTGTTTTTATTCTTCAATATATCACAATTGATGAATTTCTACACATACAGTGCCGCGGGACGAAATTCGGATAGGATTTCTAAAATGCAGTTTGGATTAGCAGCGAGAGGTGGAGATGAAAGAAGAGAAGAGGTGGGTGGTTAGTGGGTTTGCTAAAGGTCTTAAACCTTGGAAGGAAGGTTTGCATAAAAGGTGGAGATGGAAGAAGTGGGAGTGGATGTGAATTTTAGAGAGATAAATAAATGGGGGCAATTTTGTCTTTTATATTTTTATGATATTTTAGATTAAAATGAATTTAAAAAAATAGGGTAAAATTGTTATTTCTTATATTTTTAACAGTAAAAGTGACGGAAAAGTAAGTTGGGATCTGAGTAATAATTATTTTAAATATATATTTATATGGATTTTTGGTCAAATCTAAGGGAGTGTTAGTAAAATTAATTCTAATTTTTTTTAGTATGAATGACCAGAAATTATAATTTTAGGTTTGAGGTTGGTTTTGCCAACATGAGAAGTAAATGTCAATAGTTCTGAATCGAATCATTGTGTATGGGATTTATTACAGATACTATTAAGTTTCTTGTACATACAGCTATAAATACATTGTGACAAATTAAACTGTATTACGAATATAGGTTGTTGTATTGGGGAAACCCAATCTAAAACTGGGTTTCAAAATTTTCAAAATCCCAAAGCAAGATTTTCTACACGTAGAGTTGCCCAAAAAAATAAAAAATTTGGAACAGCTTCGGATCGGAAGGAGATTATGAAACTCAACAAATTTTATCAGCATTAATTTAACATTGTGTTTTAGTCTCAGAAGTACAGAAATTGTCATCGTTTGTCAATTTTTGTTAATTTTCTTCTTCCAACTTTCGCGTCTCAACAGTCGGATGGATGACTTCTTTTCCTTGATTTTTATTGGACATCAAAATCGTCTGTACTGCATCTACTAATAAAATTTTTGCATGAATAAGTAGAATATTGAATCTAAATAGTTTGAGAAAGTCTTATTGTAGTTGACTCAAAAAAGAGGAAAAAATTTAAAATTAATCCACTTCGGTTCGAGTATAGATCTTAAAAATAAAAACTAAAAAAATCTACAAAGATACAAAGTCTATATATACTCTATTACTTAACTGAATATCATGCAACCTTAGAGTACTAAAGACATTGAATTTAGTGTGTGTGTATATATTCTAAGTAAATAATATATATATATATATATATATATATATCTACACACACGCATAGTAAATGTAACGATTTAAGTAATTACCTAGTATTCGGACCAGGAGTAGGTCAACTTCATCTGACAGAGTATCATTACTCTCTCTCTCTATATATACACCCAAAATAAATAAATAAAATAAATATGGAAAGAATTTGAAGAGTTTTTGACTACCCCTCTCCGTCTTTGATTTCTCCACAATGGTATTTTCGTACTTTTTTTCATTCTCTCTCTCTCTTTCTGACTCACAGTTCTCTCCTTCCACTTTGCAAAATTGAAGGGAAAAAAAAAAATTTGAGAAGTCTCTATTAGTTCATAAAATCAAAGCAGAAAATACATAAATAAAATAAATATGGAAAAAAGTTGAAGAGGTTTTGACAACCCCTCTCTATGTTTCTGATTTCTCCACAATGGTTTCATTCTTTCTCTCTCTGACTCATCGCTCTCTCTTTTCCACTTTGCAAAATTGAAGGGAAAACAAAGGATTGAAAAGTCTCTACTAGTTCATAAAATCAAAGGGGAAAATACATAAATCATATTGATCCATTTATCAGTGTTTCAAGGTTTACCAAAAAGAGAGATTTGAAAACAAAAATATTACCAAACACCAACAATTCAATCATAGAAGTTCAACTGTTTGCCGTCATAAAGCAACGTAAATACTATATCTAAATCTAAGCTTTAATGGAATTTTCATTTTTCATTTGTAAATTAGATTTCCAATTTAACTTTAAAGTAGTTCTTTGTTGCCAATAAGAAGATGACTCCAGCCGAGAATATAATGAATGAGTCCCATTCTCAGCCTCTTCATAGATCTCAACATAAACATCTTCCAAATCATGCCTCCAACTTTAAATTTTTGAATGAGAATAATATTTTGTTTCACCGTGAGTCAGAGAGAGAGAGAGAAAGAATGAAAGAAGCAGTAGAACGAAGATACCACTGTGAAGAAAACACAGAAAGTAAATATAACGATTTAGGTAATTATGTGGCAATTACACGTAGGATTCGGACTAGGAGTATGCCAATTTTTTCGAACAGAATATCATTACTCATATATATATATATATATATATATATATATATATATATATATATGTATATAATTGCACTATATATACTTAAAAATACTAGTAAAACCGTACAGGCATTGCACGTGAGTAAAATTTAATTTAAAATTAATATTCATCAAAGTAATTAAATAATTTTTTCTCAAATTATAATTAAAATTAATTTTTTTTAAATAATCAGACTGATATATTAATTAATAATCAACAAACATAAAATGGATACAAGGTAAAAGAGATAAAAGTAACAATTTTGGATTGAACTTTTCAATAGGAATTCAATTATTGATGGGGGTATTTTAAAACTCCTAAAACAATATCAAAATTAAGACTATTTTTTTATTACATTTCACTAATATTTATTTTAGCAATAATTATTCAACAAATTAATGAAAATCTTTTTAAAAAGGAAAATGAAAACCTTAGGCAATATATATATATATATATATATATATATATATATTAGTATATAAAATAATAAGATAGGTATTATGCGGTAGAGTTTTATAGAAATTCTTCTAAACACCTTATATTAATTAAGAAAATAAAAAACTTATAATAAATATGTAATATGAATTTTAAAGAAACTTTTCTAAACACCTTATATTAATTATAAAAAAAACTCATAATAAACAAGTAAAATAAAACTCTTTTAAAAATATTGAAATACTAAAAGTCTTTGTCTTAGAGTTTTATAAAAATTCTTTTTAAAACTCTTTTTATATATTAATTAATAAATAAATACTGAAACTCGATATTTATGCTTACTAAATATAAATATATAGAATTAGAAATTGGAAAGTAAAAACGGTTGGATATAAAAAAGTGTATTAAACGGTGACTGACAAATATCAAAACTTTTAAAATCGTTACATTCGACTTGTTCGTAAAATTCGCGTATTTAACCATATATTTGAAACTGAACGCCAAACAAATTAAAGTATTGTCCAAAAATTCATACGTATATAATTCACGTATAATACATGAATTACGTATAATACATGAATTTACTAACTAGGGTTCAAATTGCCCGGTCAAAATCAAAACAAATATAAATAATTGTAAGAATGAGAGAACTTATCATTACCTTATTTTATAATTTTTTTATTATGAATTATTATTAGTATTATTATTATTATTATATATATATATATATGAATTCATAACCACTGAAGAACAAATAAAAAAATCAAAACAAATACTGCGTATAAAATAAATGTAGGGCAGAGAGAACTTATTCCTACATTATCCATTTTTATTATTAGTATTACTTTTATATATGACATCTAACCAAGAACAAAGAGAAATAGAACAATGTATATACACAGCTCACCGGTGGGGGAAGCCGTAGTCATTGACGACCGGTCAAATCTATCTTCCACAGTCCCAATCATGGACGCCACTAGAGTTGGGGAAAAATTAATTCCTTCCAACTCATCCTACGGTATGCTCGTAATTAAAATTTCTCCTCTATTACACACAGCGAAAATATTATCGCATCACATCACTTTTACAAAATGCATACGGAGATAATAATCGTACACATTCATACACAAAACAATATTTTACATGATTCATCAAACTCTATGATTATGTCCATGGGAGAGAGCTAATTAATTAATTACCTATATTAACTAATTAGGATGACGAGCCCAAACTTGTGTGAAGAAATGCCTACACCTCAGGGTTTAATTAATCGTTCACATTCCGGGTCGAAATCAAAACAATATAAATAGTTGTAAGACTGAGAGAACGTATTCCTACATTATCTTATTTTATTATTTTTTATTATGAATTATTATTATAAATCCATAACCAACAAAGAACAAATTTAAAATTAAAACAAGCATAAAATAATTGTAGGACAGAACTTATTCCCACATTATCTTATTTTTTATTATTAATTATTATTAGTATTATTATCATATATATATATATATATATAGATATAGATATGTATATGAATCCATAACTAACCAAGAACAAAGAGAAATGGAAGAATGCATACACACAACTCACTTGTGGTGGCAGGCACAATAGTGGACGACCGGTGAGAGAGAGAGAGAGAGAGAAGAGAGAGGAGAGAGAGAGAGAGAGTGTGTGAGTCGCCAAGGTTCGAGGCTTGGTATTTGATGATGATGATGAGTGAGTGAGGCTTTGGGGCTACTGAGATTAGTAATCTTAAGCAATTTTAAATTGAGGTGACAATTTGTATTTGTGAATTATAATATATTGAATAAATAAATTCAAAGTTAACTCAATTAATAATAGTGTCAAGAATCCTTAATACTAATTCAATAAATTTATTAAATCACTTATTAACTTATTTAGTAACTTGTTTATCAAAACGAGAAATTTAATATTTAATTAAACAATAAATAATATAAAAAATTTGTCACAAGAAAAAACATAAAACATGGACAAAATTTAAATATCTATAGTAATTGAGTCTAAATAGGTAATATATTACATAAATCATATTCATAATTATAACATGTTGAATTAAACTAATTACATAAATTGAACCACTCAATTTTAACTAAATATGCTTAAATAAACAAATTAATCGTACCAATCTATTTATAACTAGAACTTATTTACAATTTACCTAAAACTCACTTATCTTGTTGACATGTTGGAAGACGTGTGGTAATTTGGGACCACTAGTTCTAAGACTAATATATTAGTGTTATAGATATGGGCCCACTCATTAATGATTTGATTTGAAAATCATATGGATTGAATTGTAATTGCATGCGTTAGGCACCCACCCACAATAAGTAATCTTTGTGAAGGAAAAGTTATATGGATGTTACTATTATTTTTATTTTTTATTATAAAAAAAGCCATCATTATCATTCGTGCTGTCTGTCTGGGGATTCCATGGAAGTGGTCTAAAATGAGGGGCTCAAGGCGGCTTTTTAGCCTCACAAAATGAGTAGCCTAAAATGAGTCTTTCATTTGACTACATAAACATCATCTACCGTTAACTCCACACATTATATATATATATATATATATATATATATAACATATTAATGACCTAAAATAAATAATAATGTAATGAAAATAAACTAGTTCTTACACAACGCATAAAACGATGCAAAAATAATAATAACTAAAATAAAATAACTAAAAATTCGAAAAATCCAAAACTAACCATAAGTGGTCAATTAGTTGACCAACCATGCCATAGCCCAGCCAAATATCAAAGGTAACCCCACATATAAGACAAATAACATATAAAATATTTAAATAAATCAAGAAAATAATTTTGGAACGTGCAAATTCGAGTGTGGGATCTACTCGAGACCTCCCAGATAAAAAATTCGAAAAATACAAAAATTATCCAAAATATATTTCTAAGAGTCCTAAATTCAAATAAATACTCAAAATCTCTTTCAAAATTCTCGTAGCACACTAACCGATGCATGACACGCAAAACGAGGCACAAAAATAAAATAATTCAAAAAAAAAAAAAACCTACAAAAATAGAAATGAGTGGTCCAAGGCTCCTTCTTAGCCTCACAAAATGAGTGGCCTAAAATAATTTTTCCATTTGACTTGCCAATGTACCAAAATAACCCCGCCTTTCACCACAATCACAACACATGCCATATAAATATCTTCTCCCACTAACTCCACATACATACATACATATATATATATATATATATGTATGTATATAAAATACCTTAATAACCAAAAATAAATAATGATGTAATGAAAAACCATCGGGTCTCACAGGGAGCATAAAACGATGCACGAAGAATAATTAATAAAATAAAATAATGAAAAATCTGGGACATTATAATCTATCTTCCTTAAAAAGATTTTATCCCTGAAATCTTTCCTTTTTAAAAGAAGAGGCTTCAACCAACACTCACGGGGAACACAACTCGTAAAACTTACAAAGATACTGGCTCATTACCCCTTACTACCCTTCACACTGAAGGTCAAAAACAGTTCCGCACCACTTACACTGGCAACACAAGGCTCACCACCCTATATAAGTATTCATCACACAACATCCTATCATGTATACCATTGGGTTCTATACCTGGCTTACAACCAACATCGGGCACACCCTACGCATCCTTTGAAGGATACGCAAAACCCAAGATCAAAAATTCCAGCCTTCTCATTTTCAGACTCAAACCAAAGTCTACATATCCTAGTTAGACCAAATGCTTGATATCTATCGCATAACTACACCATCATACATTCGCACCAACGACTACCAACCGCACTTTTTACCTATCATCATACTTAATTAACACCTTCAAGATGACTAAATAATAAATTTCCCAACGACCACATAAACAAGAGTCACTCAATCAGCAAAGCATACTATCGTGTACTCAATTAGCAAAGCATACCATCAGCTCTGATACCACTTGTTAGGGAAAAATTAACTCCCTCCAACCCACTAAACGGTCGGCTGTTGTAGAGAGTTAAATCCTTCCTTTATCATACGCGGAAGCATCATCACGTCACATCATATCAACACAATCGTATATGGAGATAATAATCGTACACATCCATACACAACATAATATTTTACATGGTTAACCCAACTTTAGGGTTACGTCTATTAGAGAGAGAGATTTCATTATTATGAATCAAAGAAGATAATATACAATCACATGTTAAATTTTCACTCATTCACTCATCCTCTCTTTTAAGGCTACATGTAATTACATATATTCTAATCTCCTTACAACATTCATCTTTAAACTCCTTACATATTTTTTTCTCCTTTCTCTCTCTTTAAACCCTTATGCCCATATCTATTTAGAGTCTTCAAAACTCAATTCTTTGTTGGACCATTTGTCTACAAGGTATTATCAAATCAATCTCAACTCTAAAATAGATACGTAATGAGACATAATTTTTTTTACAAATTTTAGTATTTTAGAAAGGAAAAAAAAAAAAAAAAATTTGTATACAATTTTAAGCCACATAATTAAATGAGAAATAAATCAAAAAAGAGTGAGAAAGAAAGCGAGGGTTTTGGGCTGTTGGGATGAGGAATTAATTGGGAATTTAAGACTAAGGGTGTGTTTGGATAGATAGGGGAAAAAAGAAAGAAATGATAGTATTAGTTAGGAGAGAAAAGAAAAGAAAAGAAAGGATAGTAATAATTTCTATTCGTGTTTGGATATATAGGGGAAAAAAGAAAAGAAAGGATAGTTATTCTTGTTTGGATAAGATAGAGGAGAGAAAAAGAAAAGAAAGGATAGTATCCAAATTGCTGTCCTACCTTTTCATAACCACTTCACACATTATCTATTTTCAAAATCTCACATAGGATGTTTTAGAATGTTTATTTCTTATAGTTCAGTGCAATGGGTAAAAACAAAAGTAAAAAATAAAAAAATAAAAATAATGGGTGAAAACAAAATTAGATAGGACTCATT